ACAAAAAGAAGGAAGTTATAACTGCTCCCAATACCTTGCAGGTCTTAGCTGAGGAAAAGACGAGATCGTTATGGATGCCCCTTATCGTGTTGCAGGGGATTACTCAAGCCCATTACAAAGTAACGTAGTTCTAAATGGAGAGGCTTCTGATGCTTTATGTATCGAAGAGTCTCTCACAGATGTTAATGATTTGCCTACAGTGCAAATAGAGGGATTTGAAGATGATGATTGTGATGGTAATGTCATTATAACTGATAACAGTCTGCAAGAGATTTTGGAAGTCCCTGAATCAAATGGTAATGATGAAGGTGGGAAGTTTCCTGAGATGCCATCTTCCATTGATGGTGAGCGCAGTAGTATGCAAGACGGTGAGGACGCAGGTGATATGGTTTCTTTACAAGCCAAATGTTTGCCCCAAATTCCATACAGGGGAGAGAGCATGGATTCGGTTGGTGCAATCATAGTTGATGTAGTACGCAACCAGCAGAATGGTGAGGGAAAAGAGTCAACGGTCTCAGCAAAATTTAAGCCAAGGATGCCTCTGGTGGATGGAACTCATAAGGTGGAAGGTCATAGCAAATGGGTTCAAGATCACACTCCTAGTAAGTGGTTGAATAAACCTCGAACGCGATCTCAAGTTAAGGGACCTACAGCAGTTATTCATGGGAAGAAAGGGGGTTCTCATAAGTCACAGCGTATCCTAATGTCTACAGAAGATAAGGTTTCCCTTATTAAGCAATCAAAAAATTAATATGTTATTATGTCTGTTGTAGCTTGGAATGTAAGGGGCCTTCGTGGCCAGGTAGATTTTTCTGATATTGTAACTCTAAAAAACCAACAAAATATTGGTATTTTATTTCTTTTAGAAACCAAGTCGCTTTCAGAGTTGAATCGGGTGTGGTAAAAAAAAAGAGTTTTTATAATAACTTTATTGCAAATGAGAGTAATGATAGATCTAGAATTTTGATGCTTTGGAATCCATTGATATACTTCATCAATGTACTCGATGCAAATTAAGAAATGATAATAGTGGAAGCCACTAGAATTGGCAATGGCCGAATGTCAGTGGTTTCGGGGGTTTATACCTTCAATTCAGTATCTTAGAGAGCTTCATTATGGAATCATATGAGGATTATGGGGGCTGCTATTTCCAAACCTTGGTTACTTCTAAGGGACTTTAATAAGTAACAGCGTAGAAAAAATGAGAGGAAGCAGTTCTTTACAATTAGACTTGGGTGATTTTGCCCAAGTCATGACAGAATGTGCTTTATCTGACCTCGGAGTAGTCAGGGGATGGTTTTCTTGGTTGAATAGCCAGATCAGTAGGAGGTGCATAAGAAGAAGATTAGAGCAATGGCAACTACTGATTGGGTTCTGGCATTTTCGGATCTAAGGTGGAGCTTCTTCCCAAAGGTAACTCTGATCACTGTCTACTTCTAGTAACAGTTTCTGATAAGGGACCGGTAGGACTAAAGCCATTTAAATATTTTTCTATATGGGAAATGCACCCAAACTTCATGAACACCATCTCTACATCATGGCAAGTGAGAGTTGAAGGCACGATTATGTACCGGTTTGTGACTAAACTAAAGAGATTGAGCGTTGATCTGCATACATGGAATAAGGAAGTCTTTGGTCATATTAATGAATCCATTGTAGCAGTCAGACACCAACTATCTTCTTTGCATGATAGTATATATGTTGATCCCTCGAACGAGACACTAATGTTAGAAGAGCAGCAAAGTACCTAAAGGCTTCAAATACTTTTGGGCACAAACAAAGATTATGGAGACATGAGTCTAAATAGAACATGCTTAAGGACGGGGATTCTAATACTAAGTCCTTTCATCTATGATTTGAAGAAGAAATGACAGGATCACATATTTGAAAGATCAGAATGGTAACTTGTTAGCTTCTAAGGCAGACATAGATAGCCATATGATCAGCTTCTTTGAGAATTTGCTTGCTCAAGAAAGTGATATTAAAGACATTCACCATTGACTTCTTTATTCATGTGACCCCCATCTACATATATCAAGTTAGTATAGCTTTCCTGCAAGAAAGCATTGACATTCTCATGAACAGAAAGCTTATGCGAAGACACATCAGCACCCAAAGAAAGATCTCAATGAACCCCCATACCCTCATCGCGATTACCTGACTAAAGAACTATATGCGACTCACACTCTCCGGTAACACCAGTGCTGATGATGGAGCCATCAAGCAACAAATAAGGGGCATATGAGTCCATAATCATATTGGAAAACAAGGTATTAGATGTTGTGCAAGCAGAAACATCCATAGATGAACTTGTGGCAGCAAAAGAGTCCAAAGATGAACTTGTGGTGATAGTCAACGAGCCCTCAATCCTAGATGGCAAGTTGTTAGATGCTAGGGTTGCACTATGACGGGGTTGTTCGTCTTCATCTCCTCCAGATTTACACCGTGGACCATGATCAGAATTCACATTGAGCACATCCTCCTCAGCCTACAGATAAGGTTTATCATTATCGCAACCAGAATTATGGCTAAGGAGCACATCATCATAGAGATCTTGGCCAACACCATCTGATTTATCATTATCACACCTAGAATTATGGCCAAGAAGCACATCATAGGCACTAAATATATCCACTACACCGTGAGCATAATCCACAGTGAGCGCATCCTCCTCAGCCTGCCAATAAGGTTTAGACCCAACTACTTCGACATCTCGTCCGACACCATATGATCTATTATTATCAAACCAAGAATTATGGCCAAGACACAATTTGAACTTCTGTTCGCATCAGAAACAACTCAATAACCAAAACTGGTGATGAATTGATCCTCACGAACAAATCCTAAGTCACCGTCTAAATTCTCCTTGACGCACTCAAACTTGAGACCAATACCACCGACTGGCTGATTTCCTTCAAATCCAGAACTAGTGATTACTAAAAAGCCAGGCCCATAGACGAATCTTTCCTTGTCACCGCCAATACCAGTTGCAAGGTTGTTGCCGCTAGATCCCAAAGAAGAAAAAACATTGATATTGTTCTTCAGATCTGGTGGATTCCCATCCATAGGAAGAGCCTCCTCATGGTCAATGTTGTCCATAGACACCATGCAGAGATCACACGATCTCATAGCCATGGTTGAAAACCATTATCCAAATGAAACACTAGCAGAGTGCACCGTCTAATTCCCCCCTAGTTGCAAGTCTTCGCTCAAAACAGTCTACGTTAATGGCGGAGCACCATTCAGTGGCGGCGCTCCTAATAAAGTGCGATGGCTGAGAGGCGATCTGCAAAAAGTATTATTAGGTTAGGTTAGAGAAGGTGAAGTAGGTTGGTTCTACTCCGTCGACCGAAATGGATGTATATGAAAGGGATGTTACACAAGATATGGAGGCTGAAAAATGACCTAGAAATTTTCTCACTTGGAGATGGGTTCTTGATTTTTCGATTCAAAACATAGGAGGAAATAGAAATAGCACTCTTTTGTGGCCCTTGGTTTCTATACAAAAAGTGCTTGGTTCTTCAAGATTGGGACTCCTAAGTTCAACCGTTTAGAAGCATTCGACAGACTGTTCCAGTTTGGATTAAATTGTCAGATCTTCCTCTCATCTTCAGGTAGTCGGGGATTATATTTCATATTGCATTAAGTGTAGGAAAGACCGTCTTTATGGACAAACCTACAAAATGGCGATCTAGGGCGGAGCCAAGGATATGTGTTGCATTGGATGTGAAGAGGTCGTGCTTATCAGAGGTGTGGTTTGATATTTTGGGCAAGGAGAATTGTCAAAAGATTGTTTACAAGTTTATACCAACCACTTGCTCAAAATGTAATAGAATTGGCCATATGTCGGATCATTGTCGTACATCTCTTGCTGCAAGAGATACATCAAAGGTCAAAGGTGCTAAATGATAGGTTAAAAATAATAGTGGCTCAGCTATTGTGTTATCCTTGGGGAAGGAGGGAAGGAAATTTGTCAAGGGTTGAACACAGATGATTTATAAAAAACAAGGACTTGTAACTGCTCCCAATACCTTTCAAGTCTTAGCCGAGGAAAAAGATGAGGTCCTTATGGATGCCCCTGATCAAGTTGTAAGGGATTACTCAAGTCTGATACAAAGTGATGTAGCTCTAAATGGGGAGGCCTCTAACACTTTATGTATCGAAGAGTCTCTCACGGATGTTAATGAGTTGTTTACAGTTCAGATAGAGGGATTGGAAGCTGATGATTGTGATGGAAATGCCATTATAACTGATAACAATCGGCGAGAGAGTTTGGAAGTCGTTGAATCATATGGTAATGATGAAGGTGAGAAGTTTCCTGAGATGCATCTTTTATTGATGGTGAGAACAGTAGAATGCAGGAAGGTGAGGACGCAGGTGATATGATTTCTTTACAGGCCACGTGTTTGCCCCAAATTCCATACATGGGAGAGAGCATGGATTCAGTTGGTACAATCATAATTGATGTAGTAGGCAATCAGTAGAATAATGAGGGTAAAGAGTCCACGGTCTCAACAGAATTTAAGCCTAGTATGCCTCTGGTGGATGGAGCTCATAAGGTGGGTTCAAGATCATACTACTAGTGAGGGGCTGTATAAACCTCGAACTCGGTCTCAAGTTAAGGGATCTGCAGCAGTTATTGGTGGCAAGAAGCAGGGTTCTCATAAAGCACATCGTGTCCTAATGTCCACAGAAGATTAGGTTTCCCTTAATAAGCAATCAAAAAATTAATATATTATTATGTCTGTTGTAGCTTGGAATGTAAAGAGCTTTCATGACTCGAGTAGATTTTCTGATATTGTAACTCTAAAAAACCAACAAAATATTGGTATTTTATTTCTTTTAAAGGCCAAGTTGCCTTCAGAGTTGAATCAAGTGTGGTAAAAAAATTGGACTTTTATAATAACTTTATTGCAAATGAGAGTAATGATAGATCCAGAATTTTGATGCTTTGGAATCCATTGGTATACTCCATCAATGTGCTCGATGTAAATGAAAAAATGATAACAGTGGAAGCCATTAGAATTGGCAATGGCCGGGTGTCAATGGTTTCGGGAGTTTATGCCTTCGATTTAGTATCTCCAAAATCTCCGTTGTGGAATCATATGAGGACTATGGGAGCTGCTATTTCCGAACATTGGTTACTTCTAAGGGACTTTAATACTTTATTTAATAGCTCAGAAAAAATCGGAGGAAGCAGTTCTTTACCATTAGACTCGGGTGATTTTACCCAAGTCATGATGGATTGTGCTTTATCTGACCTTGGGGTAGCCAGGGGGTGGTTTTCTTGGTCAAATGACCAAATCAATAGCAAGTGCATAAGAAGAAGATTAGATCCTGCAATGGCAACCACTAATTGGGTTCTGGCATTTTTGGAATCTAAGGTGGAGCTTCTTCCCAAAGGTAACTCTGATCACTGTCCACTTTTAGTAACAGTTTCTGATGAGGGACCAGTCAGACCAAAGTTATTTAAATATTTTTCTATACGGGAAAAACACTCAGACTTCATGAGCATGATCTCTGCATCATGGGAAGTGAGAGTTAGAGGCACGGCTATGTACCGGTTTATGACTAAACTAAAGAGATTGAGGGCTGATCCGTATATATGGAATAAGGAAGTCTTTGGTCATATTAATGAATCCATTGTAGGAGTCAAACACCAACTATCTTCTTTGCATGATAGTCTATATGCAGAACCCTCGAACGATGCACTAATGTTAGAAGAGCAAGAAAGTACCCAGAGGCTTCAAATACTTTTGGGACACGAAGAAATATTATGGAGACAGAAGTCTAGACAGAATTGGCTGAAGGACGGGGATTTTAATACTAAGTTCTTTTATCTATCCATTGTGATTCGAAGAAGAAATGATAGGATCATATCTTTGAAAGATCAGAATGGGAACTTGTTAGCTTCTGAGGCATACATAAATAGGCATATGATCAGCATCTTTGAGAATTTGCTTGCTCAAGAAAGTGATATTGACCCGCTTCTGGCAAATCCGTTTCTACCAAATCATGCTCAATAACTATAGATCAGTCAGCAAAATTGGCTGAAGTAGTCACTATGGAGGAGATTAAGGCCACTATCTGGGACATGCAAAGTGAGAGTGCTCCAGAGCCGGATAGCTTTTCAGTGCAAATTTATAAATTTGCCTGGGAGATCATCAATAAAGATCTTTATAAGGCCCAAAAGGATTTCTTCAGTAAAGGTAAGCTCTTAAAGAAAATTAATTCAACTTTAATATATCTGATTCCAAAAGTGGATGCCCCTTATGTTATGAAAGATTTTAAGCCTATTGGTTTGTGTAATGTTCTATATAAAATTATCAGCAAAATAATTTCAGACTTCTAAGAGTTATTCTTGAAAAAATCATTGATTCTAGGCAAGCTGCTTTTAGTTGCCCATTTTTTCAAGCACGGATATTTTAAAGTGTGTTCCATTTCGGAGTCTGTAGGTAAGAGGGGTTGTTCTCATGCATGGAAGGGCATTCATTTTGGATTATCTTAACTCAGAGAATATGTTCATTGGTGCATTGGTAATGGGCAAATGGTGGATTTCTTGATGGACACATGGTTGTCAGTACAATCGATTTGGGATTCTCTGGATGATAATGGACATATGGATTTGGGCAATCTTAGAGAGTGAAAGGTTTCTGATTTTATTGATGGTAACCCCCAATCGCGGGCATTGCCTTCATCTACCTCCACTTTGCTGAACAGCATGTGGAGTGATGTGGAACGTCATATCCTTCCATTGCAGCATAAGAAGGATTCATTGGTATGGATCCATTCTACTAGTGGAACATTTTCAATCAAAGAAGCATTGAACTTTATTCGTTATAAAAGCTCACCTCAGCATGTATTTTGTGTTCATTGGTCAGCCAAATGTCATCCAAGGGCCAAGTGATTCTTTTGGCTAGCTATGTACAATCGACTACCGACTACATCCATATTTCAGCAACAAGGTATTCATATGGCTCTATCTGTCCTTTTTGTAGGAATAATGAAGAAAACCTATGTCATCTCCTGTTTCAATGCACTTTCTCGCAAGATGTTTGGCGGTCTTTAGCTTGCCAATGTGGTAAGAGGTTTGTGCTTAGAACTTCAGGCCAAGATACTCTGCGTAGTTGGCTAGCTTTCTTATTCAAGTTGGAGGGATTTCTTAACATCTTAACGACTATCTTCTTCACAACAATATGGTTTCTGTGAGAGAAGCGAAATAGAAGAATCTTTCGAATTAATGCATCAAGAAGAGAGCAGGTTATCATTCGGATTGCTTCACATGTAAAGGCCATTGCAAAAGTTAGAAAATGAGCCTTTCATCTATCAGAAAAGATGATTATTGGCAATCTACACATTAAGTGACGCCAGCTGAAGCCAAAATGCATGATCCCAGTCACATGTTCACTGCCAGAAGTTCGTTGTTATAAATTGAACATTGATGGTGAGGCCTTTGCACAACCTTGGTTTGGCAGGTGGTGGTGGTTCATAAGAAACTGCAATGGTGGATTTGTGGCGGTGTTTACTTAACACTTTGGTTTTGTGTCCAATAATTTTGCAGAATTCCAAGATATAAAGAAGGCATTCTTTTAGTTCTGATACAGATAAAGACTGACTCATCGCTACTAGTAGATGCCATTAAAAATCAGCGTCATGTCCCTTGGAGATTACAAACGATAGTTGACAATTGTCGTACAAGGTTATCGCCTCACAGGTAGTCTATTACTCATGTTTTTCGCGAGGTGAATATGGTAACCGATGCCCTCGCTAAGAGAGGATCGGTTTATACAAGAGCCACTATTTGGCATAGTCGTCCTCCAGACTTTCTCTCTCTACTTTTAGTACATGATTTGGCGCAACTGCCCTATTATAGGGTTGTATAATAACGTGTTATCCGTTTTCTATTAATAAAAAAAATGGGTAAGGGGCTTTCTTCCCCACTGACTTACGCAAAAACAAAAAAGTCCAAAGGCACGTCACCATAAACTTGATCTCTCAACCAAAGGAAAGGATTGATTTACGACTTTTAGCTAGTTGTTCAAAGGCATAAACACTGCCAATTAGCAAACCAACTCATTTAATCTCAAGTCAAAAGCCCTAATAGGGCTGGCACATGGAGTTATGATATTTATGTAGTATATATTTAATAAAATAATTGTAAATAGAAATAAACATTATATAGTAACATAATAATAAATATAAATATAACGTATATGTACTATAATACAAGGAGGGAGGCATAATAAGGTTCGAGGAGGAGGCCCTTTTTTATGGCAAGTTCTCATTTTAAGTTTCTTCATTTTGGATGGAACTTTATTTTTTAAACAAAAAAAAAAAGTTTTGAAAGAACTTATTTACTCTATAAATCATGTGCAGTAAACATATAAGTTGTACAGTAACGGAGAAATTCCTACTTTCTCCCCGTAATATCCTGATACCGAACACGCCCTTCGGGAGAGAATGGAGTTGCATTGGGTGAGAAAAGGCGTCGACCGATGGGACATATTCTAAAACTAGTGGCCTTTGAAGCGCTTAAAAACTTGGCCGGCGGGAGCTATTAAACCCTAAATTCTCCGGCTGTTTCATCTCTTCATTATTTAAAGGCGAATCGACCCACGTTGTGGATATGGAGAGAAAAATGTCAAATGCCCACTCCATCCTCGAGGGAGCACATTGTACACTTACTCTCACAAGAAAAAAAGCTCTTTTAAGTGAGTCTTTTGAACAAGAAAGTTTGCGCTTCAGTTTAAAATTTTGTTTGAGAAGCTTTTAAAAAAACATGTTGATTTTTTAGTTATTGTTTTGCTATTTTTAAAAAAAGTTCAATTGGGAGTTTCTAGGCGCTTAGAACATATTATCTAAAAAAGCACTTAGAACATATTATCTAAAAAATTAATCATTTTTGTTCAATATTAAGACGTCATTCGCTATTCATGGATGTTACATTCAAAAAATTCAGATCCTAAATGGGTGTTTTAAAATAGGGATCAGTGAGGCGGATTGCCACCGACCAATTGCGACTCAGATCGACCTAATTGATGATCCCGATTAGACAAAAAGTTTATGAAAGATACATGTTCTTTTTTTTTTTTGGGCCTCGTTTTGGTTTTATGACATGAACTCGGCCGAATAACTTGCCTCGGTTAGGGTCTAAGTACCTTAGCCGAGTCGATTTTTTAAACACTGCAACCTTTTTAGAGAATAGAAGCCAAAAATAAAAGGGAAAGGTTTCTATACTTCCACTACAACATAGAAGATCTATGCTTTCCCTACCATCCAGCCGTCCAATTTTGATCAAGAGAGCCACTCACTATTTGATCTTAGATCCGACGTCTCAAAATATTTTATTTTTTTATACAAATTGTATGAAAATGAAATTTGATACGTGATATCTTCTCATTGGGGAGCACCTATAAAAAATATTAAAAATATTTTTTGATAAAATATAATGACCAAAATACCTCTTAAAAATTTTACAAGTATTTTGGTCATTTTATTTTATTGGAAATAGTTTTTTATATTTTTCGCTATTGCGAGTTTAATAGAGGCTTGGACGTCCAAAATTTGGTGTAAAAATAGTTTATAGAAAAAACATTAAAGTATATAGACGTGACATTGTGATTGGGGCAATCTTAACCCTCCATTCAGAATGGACCGTTGGATAAGGGGAAGTATATAAGATTTATGCTGCAAGGGATGCATAGAAAGCTTGCCCAATTAGAATAGGCTGAAGTAGTGACTATTTAGTAAGCCTCAGAAACAGAAGGAAAGAACAGAGTAGGCTCGGGCAACGACAAATCAACAGACTTCATAAATGCATGAAACTTTAGATCTTCGCTAAAGATAGCAAAATAGTCGCGACCGCTAAAAGAACAGAATAGGCCACTCGCAGATAAGAACATACATTATCAAGCAACAATAGAACAATAAACTTGATCACAAAGGAACAAAATAGTACAAAGATAGCGTCTTGTTCTAATATCAAGTTAGAGTCTTAGGTTTATCTGAAGAGACTCTCCGTGTCTATTAATCAATATGAATATACAACCTTGTATTATATAGACAAATAAGAGATGACAAGAACATAAATAAATCACATATACCTAAACTATATCTAGACTTACCATAAAATACAAGATATTGTACGTAACTATAATATACACCTTTCTATAATTAACTCTATAGAGAATATGCCTTTGAGCAATGATCTAATGCAACGGTTGTATCATAGTATAATGCAACGACACGTCTAGAAAACCATGTTTGTGGTATTTGTATGACTCTAAATTTTACACACACACACTCTTTTCATCTCAATAATCAATCCCAAAACAACAAAAAGTTCAATTTGAACACTAGATATGGTCAAAATGAGTCCCTTCCAAAAACGAATTTAGACTATTCATTTTGTGAATTTCAAGATCTTAGCCTTGATAAACTCAAAATCATTTTTTTTATTTTTTAATATTGTTCATCTAATAATAATAAATCCATCTAAAAAAATTGGAAATGAAAAAATTATTCTAAATCCTAGATCTAAGCATCTCATCGAAATGAACAGCCTGTGTTAAATTGGGTTAAAAAAATACTTTATAGGTTGTATTTTCAAATTTTCTTTTTTTGTGATTGTTCATCAAAATGAAAAGAGTGTATATTTCAAAATTTGGATCAAACAAATAGCCATAAGATGGTTTTTAAAGGTTATTGCATCATATTACTATACAACGGTTGCATGAAATCATTTCCCTATGCATTTTAATATTACTATACAACGGTTGCATGAAATCATTTCCCTATGCATTTTCATCAACAATTACCTCTTTTTGAAATCGCAAACCCGATGTAAACCTTGTGAAATAACTCTCTCTCCTAGGACAACAACAACAAATGGGAAAAAACAGATGGCATTCTCTGTCTACTAAGTAGATAATGTAGGACAACAATGTGCTCCTACCAAAGCATATAAAACTTTTGATTTAAATCAATGTAAACCGCCAGAGCAAAAATTATTTGGGGAGAGAATAAT